CCAAAGTACTACGCACCTGCTACTGAGCAGATGATCACTTCAGGCACGTCATTATATCCATTCGAAGCAACATCCAATTAAAGCCTGGATGAGAAGCTGCACGTTGACTATGTCATCACCAATCTTCAAGTCAATATCCTTAGCTGCAATATCTTCGTCTTCCAAGGAAGCAAGGTCCACCATTTGTTCAACGAAAGCCTTGTTCTCAGAGGTAATGAAGGCCGACGGAGGGTTAATGTTCCGGAGCTGGTCAGCCAAAGCCTGCATTGCGTGGGTTAATGCAGTGGTAGAAGCAGAGGCATCAGCGGGGACAGGAGCATTGACGGTGGCAGAAGTGCTCCTTATACCTATTACCGCCACGGATTACTATGGCTTAATGGCCTATAATAAAGAGCCAGAGCCTAATGACAAGCAGCTAATAATATCTTTATATACTCATCTTTTCACCAGCCGCTTATGGTGCATCGCGGTGTCTTGGTCACTGAGACTATATGACTAGCTCTATCTATGCAAAGTACCTCAAAAGCGCCCACTTTGCATTGGAACTAGCAAAGATATTCTTTCTGATATACTTATACGAGTCAATAACAGGCGATGTGATCCTCCCACCAGATCACACCGCTGCTATAGCTGCAACGGCCTCATCCGCAAATCCTAAATCGAACAGCCACTTTCAGCAAGATTCCAAAGCCAAATTCCGAATGGATCCTTCGTGCTATGTTCCTATCCGTGATGATGCCATCCCAGAATTTTATAACGGTGGAGGTGGTGAGACTGTATAATAGTAAAAGGTCACCGTTGAGGGAAACATCACGTCAATTCCTTTCTATTCTGCCTGCGTTTGAGATTCCCCGGAGAAGCAAGGCGGTTGACGGAGTATTATCAACCAACCAACTCCGAGGTTGGATACACGAGAGATGTTCATTCATTCGATTGCCATGGTAGGTGTGGATATCTTATCTTCCTTGGTAGTTACTAACTGTTTTCTTTTATAGATTCATGCTTGTTTGCTTTCCGAGGCGAAGGCGCCGTGCGTTGAGCATGATGACTATATGGAGACTCTTGAGGGTGAAGAGCAATCATTCACCGAGTCGGCGACCCGTCCGGCCGTTTTATCAGAGGCCCAAGCTGCATTTTCAGCCGAGAAGGCTGTCCAGACTAGGTCTGGTAACAAGGATTCCGATATATTTCAGGCTTCCAGGGGTTCGTCCAACAACAAAGGTTCTGATCCCCTGCAGGTTTCCAAAGGTCGGTCTAAAAAGCCCGGTGCAGGGCCGTCCAAGTCGACCCCAGCAAAAAGGGTGACTAGCCCACGCTCATTTGGCTGGGCTTGCGTCTGTGATGGTCCAGCGTGCTCGTCAGGAGGCCAGAGAACTCATAAAATATCAAATATCAAATTTCAGCTCCAAGGCAAATTTACTCGGTGTCTGCATATCGGATCTTACCTGGATACGTACTATCGACAGGTGTCGGAGCCATTGCTGCGCATAACACCAAGGTTAATACCGTACTAGCCGATAATATGGGCTATACTCACATCCATGGCGGCTTGATCCATACAATACCTGTCCGAGGTTACTTTATTGGATATCCAGTATGCCCTAAGTGGATAATAAAATTAAGGGAGCTTATTGGCAGTATCCTTTCTTTCAGCTCAACACACTGCCTGTCTCCGTTGGCGGTTGTTAATGCTATAAGATTATAATGGCTTCTCTGTTGACAAAATTCCTCTCGTTCTGTTCAACACATTCCTCCGGGGTTAAAAAGCGATGATACCATATTACTAAAGTCGCTAATAGAATACTTTAGCTTGACTCGAAGCTATTTCTTTGTTGGTTATAAAAGGAATATCCTCATAAGCGCTTAAGAGCTGGAAGAGATTCCTTCTTTCGGCTCAACACATTGCCTCTGCTGGTCATAAAAGCTAAGACACCGAATTCAACGTTGCCGGCAGAGTGGCTGTCCTTCCGCTCAACGCATTTCCTTGGTTGGTATTCAACCTAAAACCTGGATAGGCATTGCTACCCATGGCTCTCTTTCGATTAAATCCATTACCTTATGGAACACTATAGCATATCATATTTATGCAATAAAGTGGACATTATTCTTTCTTTTTGCTCAACACATTGCCTTGGGGAATATTATAGTACAGCAATTTATGCGATACACAGTTGGCGAAATTCCTCTCCTTTTGCCCAACACCTGTCCTTGGGAATACTCTCTGATGTTGACGTACAGCCTCTTTCAATCCAATCCAATGCATTGCCTTGGGGAATATTTTAGCACATTGATTTCTGCGATTTGATTGACGGTTTCCTCTCTTTCAGTTCAACACATTGTCTTAAGATTGCGATAGCCGCAGTGATACCGTAGTCCACCCCGACAAGTGGTCATGTATGTGAAGAGGCAGCAATCCCATACAAGAGAGGCACTCAAACCAGATGGTTCTCGTCCTGGTTTCCTGAGAGCCTTGCCTCAAGGCGCTCGCTTGGTTGAAAGCAGCATGCGCGAATATATCCGTGCCCTTCGAAAAACACTTCGGCATAATGCCTTGAATCCTGATCAATACTTGTCATCCGAGTTCAATGAAGTGTTCCGTCGGAGAGCTATGCCTCTAACTTCTCTTTTTTTTTTTTCCAGAATTTACGAGCGAGGTAGTTAACTAGCGCCCACTCTCGCTATAAAAGAAAAGAAATACTTCATTACTACTTGGATAATCAGCTATTATTTAACTATTTCTATTGGTTAAAATATCTATTGTAAATTTGTGCCAGTACTCTCAATCAATCAATATCACTACTCTCTTGTGCTTCGCAATTTTGTGGTGTTGATTGGTTGTCTGGACGGGCCAGTCAGTTGCCTCCTCTAAAATTTATGACTGGTTAAGTTTAGGTTCCAATGGGCAACGAGCTAATAGGGGAAGGTTAGCAAGTTAACTTCGTAGGTAGTTGCCAAGGCTGAACCAAACTCTCGGGCCGTGCCGGATCTGCCAAACTTAAAAGGTTAATTAATACAATAACACAGCATCATGCAGTTCATGAAGCCTACAGATCACCGTGCTATATGGGGTAATTCCAACCCAAGGCATTTTATCAAAAATTTATAAAAGAAGCTGCTGGAAAACCCGATTATACAAAGTGGCCTTTAGCAGTAATTGCTCTTAGCACTGCACCGTCTGTTAGTAAACTAGTAGTTGTTGTATATTCAGCAACGAAGCAGAACACGCCTTAAAGTGGATGAATCCTTGCAAAATGAAAATTCAATAGTTGAGTTAGCTTCAAGTTTCATGGATTGTATTCTCCATCAGGCGGCAAAATCCCAATGAAAATATTAACCCCCACCAACCCCCTGTTATCCGTACTCTATACACGGTCACGAGAGTTGGAAAGCAATGGTAGGCATGGTTAGTAACGAAGCAATGACCGAAACCCAGCCCGTTTTCCTCCGGGAGGGGCAGAGAACTCCGTATACGAGAAGGGCAGGAGCGGGCCACGATCCTGGATGTTCAGTGGAGAAGAATGGATAATGACTCAAGACCATTTAATGAATGGGTCGCTTATATTTGGCCTATAGAAACATCATGCGGTCCCTATGAACGTCGACGATGGCGCCAACATGTTAGCGTTGGCGTATACTTTTCCTGCCAGACCCATATGTTTCACGCATTCACAAGAATTGGGCCAGGCATTGGCGTTATCATGGATACACAGGGCAAGTTCAGACGGTGAACAAAAATGGCGATAACTCTTCATTCGCAGAGGTCGATTCCTGCCGTTGTTGTTTCCCAGCGCTCTCCTTTGATAGTTACAGCTATATAAGCGGAGCACATAGTTTTATAAGACAATGGGAAAACTTTAACTATAAAAGCTAATAATGGATATCAAGAAAATATGGGCGACGAGATTTTCTTCTGCCACCGCTCCCGGGGCTATTGCAATCTTGGTGGGATCCCCTAGACAATGAGGGGTTATGATATGGCCATCAGTAGTTATATAACATGGAGGGAGTGCTTGCTGTTGTTACTGCCTATCAAACAAGATGACACGAATACTTTACCCGTCGAAACGTGTCCGTCCACCTTTGTGGCCTGTATCTTACTGGTGCTTGGCTATTCCAAACGCTGATCGGTACTGCGTCTCCCCTAGGCGGATTTTACTGGCTTAAAGAATCTAATAGTGTGATATCTAGAGACAGAACCTCTATATTTTTTCGATCTCCTCCGTAACGCTAGTCATGTTCATAAGGGCTGATACTGGCGAAAACAAGAAAGGAAGACGTCTAATGGCTCCAGGAGTTCTGCGCGGAATTGTAAGAAGGAAATTGGCGAAACTATTGGAATTTTTGCTTACCAACTACATGCGCTACAGTCAGGATTATACGCCTTTTATATACACTACTGAATCACTGCCTTAAAAGGGCTTCCTAGTACCGTACTCTGCGCCCGGCTATGAAATTCAGGGTCGCGAAGCCGTCGCCTACCTGACTTTCATTGTCGATTACTACGAGAGTCTACCGGACTATTCAGTATTCATCCATGCCAACGAGAACCAATGGCACAACGACTTCTTTGGCGGCAAAACTAACAAAACCCTGAATAACTTCCGTTATCAAGTGGCTGATTCCCAAGGTTATGTTAATCTACGCTGCTCTACCGATCCCGGCTGCCCTACCAGTGTGAATCCACGAGATCCTACCCTGCAAGATACACGCCACAAGGATGTACGGTTATATCTAGCGGATATATATATGTACCTGTTTCAAGTTCCTTACGAAAGTGTTTTAGAGAATATCGGCGGAGTGTGCTGTGCGCAGTTTTTAGTGACACGGGAACAGGTCTTATGGCTGGTGCGAGACATAGAGACGGGAAATTTCGACTCTTGGGTTTAACTTCTGTGATATATCTATTTATAACTAGTTTCCAAATGAAGAACTTCCAGAGAAACTCATTAAAAGGAAGGAGAGGCTCTTCGATCTCGCCTTCCGGAAGTTCAGGGGTGGATCCCTCCGAGGGAAGTCGCCGCTGGAGGGCGAGTCAAATGCTCCTTCCCGGGAAGCTCCTGTTCCTGCTTGTCTAGCTGTTTGTTGGCTACTTCGGTTCAAGGGGAGATATCGTGCTTTTATTTACTTCCATACGATGAACGAATTCATTCTGGACAAAGATGGCCAGCTCCGATGATCTAATATTTTCTTCTATTCTGCGTTTTTCCTATTGTCGTTCAGAGAGGGCTAAAGTTGAATAAGTTAGCCCATGGTATTATCTACTTATTACCAGTTCAACAAGGGTGGCGTACTGCTACTGGGCTTTTGTCTCCTCTCTTGACCTACTACTGCTGAGTAGCCCTCATATATTGTCAAATATGGCGTCTTCACAAAGGAAAAGGATATTATTCCCCGAGTTTGCCAGTATATTATTCTACGAGAATGGACTCGCTTACGAGTATGTAGAGAGAAATGTTGATTAGGGCATGCTAATCGACGGCAGACATTATGAAACAGCAGAGTAAAGGATTGAATGAAGGGTAAATATTAGAAATTATACAACCCACTTCAAAGGACAGGACAAAGCAAATGCTTTTCCCCATACCTACCAAAACGCCACTATACCAAGGTTTTAGCCCGGTAGAGTCGGCGGCAGGCAACGACGGGGAGTATGTATATATAGACGCCTGGAAATCCTGATATTCCCGAAATTTTTCCATTCAAGTCCCCTTCCAATCCAAGTATTAAGCCAAAGATAATCTTTTACACCGGACAGATATAACTTGGATGGAAAGCCATTGTAGCTTTATGCGGCGACAGTCCTTATACCTGGGACATTGTTGGAGCCTGTCCGCGGTTGGGTGACGTACGTTGGCGGTCTCCACCCCCGGAGAAGCGCTGCTTGACACGCCAGAGGGAATATAGGGTGGACAACAAAAAGGCAAACCACAAGAACCACAAGAAAGCAGTGGCCGCCTGTCCTTCACGGCAAGTTTTCTCCCCGGACTTCGATCCGCTGCTGACTGTGTTTGTGGAAGTGTAGTCCTGTGTGAATGTTAGAAGCCATTACGAAACGGACTGGGCGTGAATTGGAGTGTTCTCGTTTCACATACCTTATTGGAACAACTATGCACATGCTGTCTGGCCGGAAGGGCAATAGCTCCACAGAAGGCAAAGATACAGCAGAGAGCATCGATAAAGAACATGAGAATTGGATGGAGCATGATTTTGTCGCTGAGCGAAGCCGGGATAAGATAGAGCAAAGACAATAAGATGAATGCTGGTACGAATAGATTATAGTTGACCACCGACGAGCTGCCGTGTATGGCGTCATCAATCATGTTCCCTATCAGGGCCATAACAATGACCGCAAGGGCAAGCTATAGAAATAAAGGTCAGTTTCGAGTTCTTGTTTGCAGCAACAGACTTGAGGGTGGTATACTTGAATGAACCGAAGGGCAGCGCTGCCCCATTTCGCTGCATCAGGCATCGTGAATATTCTTTGGGCTCGTCTTCTACTTAGGATAATTATTCACTCTGGGCCTGGAGAGTATATCAGAAGATGCAGCGGAAACAATATCTGGTGTTTCAGGCTTCAAGCAAAGATTCGAGTGATAGTATTCGTTCGACTATTGCTATTAATCGCCGAGTTGTAAGAAACCAGAGAGGAAAAGATTTCAAATCCATTTCTTGAACAGAGAGAAAAGAAGCTGGTCACGTTAAACAGACGTCATATGGCTCCATATAGAACAGGGCTTTTGTTTGTTTTGCAGGCAGTAAAAGTTCTTCTATCAGCAACTCCGCTCATCTAGACCAAGTCTGATATCCACAGTTTCAATCGCGGGCGAGTCGCGATGCAGGTTAGTAATAAAGTTGGCCACTTCGCCTCCGGAAAATCATTTATCCATGAGTTTAAATCGACGTCATCAGAGAAAGCCAACTGATGTCATGTGCACGCTGTTTGCAAAAATTATGTTCATTTGATAAAGATACAGTATTGCTTGAAGAGGTTTGAGAGATGCTGGGTTAAAAAGCACACGCTGATATAGAGGGTATAGATCAACTAACAACGGCCAATTGTGCAACAAGATCTGATGCAACGTCCAAGAAGGGATAAGGACTCGTCACCTCTTTTTCCTTATTGCGGATTCGTTTGCTTATTGGTCGCCATTCTGTGGTGGTGTTGTTTTCGTGAGCAATTTGGATGACATTTTGATAGCCATCACATTTAAAGTCGACCATGTAGTTCTTCGACTCGATCTGATACAACTGAATGTCTATGAAAACCCACACACCGTAGGAAAGGAGGGCAGGGTGGGACGAGTGGGCTGACGATATTGCGGTGCCACCTGCAGCTACCGCTGCCGATGCTGCCGTCTTATCCTCTGGGTGTAATATACCGCCTATCAGGCTCACGCGGCGACGGAACTCTTCTAGATCGCTGCGACTAGAGTGAGCGCTGCTTGACGGACCAGGGGCGAGAACGCCTTGCTTTAATAGCCGCGCACGGATAAACCATAAATCCTTGGGGATATAATAGTCCGGTGGCAAGTCAGGGTACTTGTGTTGCAATGCCTGTGGGAGTTCAGTTGTCATCTGTGGGGTTCTGCCACTATCGGAGTCATTTACTTCTAAAATAATATTAGCAATTGAGCGTGGCAGATACTCCAATCATAAAAAAAGTAAGAAAGAAAGAAAAAACCTACCAGGCTCGGCCGGCTGAATTTCCCAAACGCCCCCTTCCGCCCGAATAGCCTTGTAGAGACACAACATTGCTTCATATGGTTGATTCCTAGAACGTATTCCAAATTGCCATTTTCGAGAACGTTTTGTTGTAGGGGCTGTCGCAGCTGCGGTGCTTGGTTTTTGATACTGTAGCTTATCCAAATCAACTTTGCTGCGTGAATGGGGTCGAAGAGACCGAGCAGTTGCCGCCTGTTCTTCGGGAGAACGCTCTTTGTTGATATCATTCTCAGATTCCTTGCCATCAGGCTGCAATGATCTACCTCGGTTTTCCACTGATAATTCTTCCTCTTCATCATCACTAAGCAGGCTCTTCTCGGCTCGTTGCTCCATTATTTGATCGTGTACGTACGGCAAACTGGTGGGTAGAATGCGGACGTGACTTAATCGTTGAGAGTCTTCTGCGCCCCCTGCTGAAGGAGTTTGGGAGGGTGAGCTTGATGAAGTGCGTGGCTGGTATGGGGTCAATGGAGCAAGCGGTGAGCTCTGAGCACTGGAGTCAGGGTTAGGACTTTGGCCTGAACGGTAAGATGGTGACGGGCCGCCCCCTAATTGAGCAGCGGATGGTTGACCAGGCTCATTCTCAGTCGGGGCTGGATTAAAGTTAGCAAAGCAATGATTAGCAAAAACATGTGAATGATACCGTGTGTAGGGGTTTAATTCTCACAATTCATCTGCATCATCTCATTCTCAACGACAATAAAGAAGGCATCTTTGATTGCACTAGGTTCAGGCCTCCTCAGAGCGTCCTGAATATCATCCTTGCCATAGCCCATTCTTCGCTCAAGCTTGTTAACTGCATTCTCATGGATGCGTTCCTGTATAGCAGCAGATCTTCCGGGTGCAATTTTGCGTGGATCGATTGCTTTATTTGGATCTGCGCCAGTGCCAACAAAATCCTCAACTGGTGGTTGCAGGTATTTTGGGAGGCCCTTTAAAAACCAAGGATCCTGCCGTATTTCGGGTATGGAAATCCGATGTACAGGATGAACTTGAAGCATATGCCTGATGAGATTGGCAGCACCTGTCGAGATATAGGATGGCATATGAAAATTTCCAGCGGATATCTTTTTGAAGAGAGATGGAATGTAGTCGTCGTCAAAGGGTAGCTTCCCTACCAGAAGTACGTAAAGAATGACTCCGCAGCTCCATACATCAACCTCTGGGCCAGCATAAAGCTTGCCAGAGATAACCTCTGGAGCCGCATAGTTGGGACTACCACAGCTTGTTTTCAAGAAGTTCCCATCAGTCATGATGTTACTCAGACCGAAATCAGCGATCTTTACATTCTTGTCCTTGTCGATAAGGAGATTTTCGGGTTTAAGATCTCGGTGAACAATTTTATGCCGATGGCAGTACTCCACTGCGCATATAATTTGCTGGAAGAAGATGCGGGCTTCGTCATCGTTGCACCTCCCTCTCTTTACGAGATAGTCAAATAACTCCCGTTCAGCATACTCCAGAACCATGACAATGTCCGTCTTCGTGGCGATCACGGTATATCTGGTAGGGAAAAAAAAGGCAGACATTAGCATACTGTTGTACTGTCACGCCGCTGACAGATATTCCGACTTACAGCTTGATAATATGAGGGTGCCTTAAGAGCTGGAGATACTGGATCTCGCGCTCAACCCTCCCAACCATGTCTCTTGACTGTAGCTTCCGCCTTGGTATAATCTTGAGTGCTACCGGCCGCCCGCTAGCTCTGTGAGTGGCAAGCTTAACCTTTCCAAAGGTTCCTTCACCCAGACTTCTCACCGCAGTATATTGATCGAGACGTTGCATGTCTCGAGCGGTGGCAGGAGACTGGTCCAGCCGTTCGTTTCCATGTCGTGGAGCTTGCTGCAGTATACTCGGGTGTCCATGAGGATTCCTATTCCTGTTCTGTTCGTACGAAGGAAGGGAGATCGAGAGATCTTCGTCGTCAAAGGCGGCCGACATGGTGACGGAGAGTGTATATGAACGGATGTCTTCGGATAAGGGGAAATGGCGTTGTCTATCACACTGGTGCCGCTACACCGAGGGTATAGCAGATTCCATTGACTGGAACTCGATAAGCGGTGGGGGTGATGCGCGTAGTAAGCTGTTGAACTGATCGCTCAACGACTTTCCATTATAGCTAGGAGGGGGCGAACAGGCAGTGCGCAGTCTCCGGGATCCTGTTCAGTGTGTCTATTCCCCAATCAGCCTGCAGGTTAGCATATGCTTGCTCTTCCAGCGATTGCGGTTGATCTCTGCTGCTCGTTGCAGAGGTTTCGCCTTCACGATGTTGCTAATCGCAGATTGCCGACGCAGTCTCAAGGTTCGCAAGGGGGCCAGGGGACCTCGCTATATTTCGCCGCTAACGACGTCTTACCTTCCTTTTTAGTTTAAATGTTGCTTCTTAGTCATAGAGTTAAGCGCTTCTCGCCGATTGACTTTTTTGAGTTTTGACATGTCACATGGCCGTAGCCCCGCGCTTATCATTTGCCGCGACGTCAATAAAGTTGGACGCCGACGAAGCTGAAGTCGGTCCCATATTCGGAGATTTTATATTAGCTAGTTAGTCGGGTTATTCTAAGCGTACTCCATAGATATGCTGAGGAGGCGTGATATAAAATCAATCTGGCCATTCTTTGTTTTCGCTGTGTGACTTCTATTAGTAACTGGTATGTGTCATGTTTATGGTTGCTTTATCTATATGACTCTCACCCACTTCCAGCCATTACTGCCCACTCCAACGGAAAGCCGATGAGCCGGTAACGGAACGGCTGCAGCCCAAGGACTTATCTTTTGTATGCTCAGACAATGGGAGCATAGCTAATAGTAATCAAATGTGTTTAGATTTTGTGGTGTAAAATCCTGATGAGAGTTGGATGCTACTATAAAGCCCCTCGTTCTTCCATTCTATCTTCCCTCCCGAAGTCGGCAGGAGAATTGCTTCAAGTCACCCTTCATATAACACACGTTAACAACAGATTGAGCGCTTTTTGACGATGTCTGATAAGTCCGCGGGAACGCCTCGAGTATATATATGTCGTCATGGTATTTATCCCCCGTCCAACGCTCGCTCTCTTCGTCTCTCAATATGAGAACCGATATTAAACAAGGTGCCTAGGAGAGACTGAGTGGAGCAAGAATGGTCAACACACGGGGAAAACAGATATCGAGCTCACGGAGCGAGGAATGCAGCAAATCCAGGCATCAGGGAGCATCCTCATCGGGCCCAACAAGCTGATAGACCTCTCCAAGGCCGCGCACGTCTACGTCAGCCCGCGCAAAAGGGCATACCAAACTTTCGAGCTCGCTATCACAGAAGCCGATAGGAAGAAATTGGCTGAGAATGGCCGAGTTTCGAGAACCGACAGGCTGGCAGAGTGGGATTATGGCGACTATGAGGGCCTAGTTACGGCTGATATACAAAGAATGAGAAAGGAGCGAGGATTAGACAAGGAGAGAAATTGGAGTATTTGGCAGGACGGATGTGAAGGAGGAGAGTCGCCTGAGCAGGTATCTGAGCGGGTCGACAGCTTGATTGAAGAGATTCGTCGAATTCAGGGTCCGAATATCAACGGAGAGAAAGCGTGTGATGTCGTCTTGTTTGCGCACGGTCATCTTCTGCGTGCCTTTGTTAAGAGATGGGTGAATATCCCGCTTGAGTTTCCGCTGGCTATGATGCTTGAACCTGGTGGTGTGGGTGTCCTCAGGTAAGTTTTTGAATCCTCTATAGCCCTTCATTTGATTGTACGGGTCTGACTCTTGGTTTTCATAGCTATGATCATCATGATATCAACCAGCCTGCCATTCTTGTTGGAATTGGCCTTCCATCCCCTCCAGTTTAGGTACCGGTAGAGTCGGATCTTTATAGAAACGTCACTCAGAGTCTTAGAAATGCAATGAATGTATGTCAGCGCGTGAATAACGTGAACAGCTTGATTTTGTGCTTAAATCTCACTCATAATAAAACAAGTTTGGTACACTGAGTACCGACGCCGTAGTCGTCCGAATAAAGGCTATTGTACATGAAAAATTGCCTATCAGAAACTCAACTTTTTTCGTTTTGTTTTTGCGTGGCTGAATTTCGTCAAAAGAAAAGCATATAAAGGCGCCGATACAACACCAGAAGTCGATAATCGAAGGGTGTGAAAGAGGTTTTTTCGCATAAGAGGAAATGAAATATGGCTGTGAGAAGAGTCGGGAGATTGTCCGTGGAAAGTAAACACCGAATAACACCATGCTAAGCCAAAAATTAATGGGGGAAATAATACAGTAGAAGGGTCCACGAGAGGCGGAAAGAGGAGGTCCAAAGAGAGGCATCCAGGTATCGATGTGGCAGATGCTAGAGAGCGCCATGAAGCAATCACTCCTCATCATAGTGCCCTTCCTTTTGGGTGCCGTTTAGCCAGACTTGCTTCCATGGGCCCCCGTGAGCTGGGATGCCCTCTCGATCCTGTCTCATGCCCTCCACGACACCAACTATGCCGCCGTTCCGAAGCCGCTCGAGGACAACATTCATGCCCTGTTTGCTGCGAAGAACAGCATCGCGCGTCCGTTTCACTCCAATGAGCTCAATTGTTCGTTGAATGCCGGCAGTGGACCAGGAAGCAAAGAACCCTTTCTTGGGAGCCTCGTCGTCAACGGTGGTATCCTTTTTCGACCGACTAAGCATATTCTGGCCCAGGCGAGACTTAAATGTGACCGTAGTTTTCACCGACGTACATTCGCCTTTCAGGTTATCGTCAATGCCTAGGCCGGCTGATAACGCAGACAGAGAAGAAGAGGCAGAAGGATCTGCGTTTTCAGCACGACAGCGATGGTATTCCTGCTTTTCAACCACGCTGAGAACCCCCGTCCACTCCATATTGCGAGACTCTGTCCGCATCCATCCTTCGTTGACATCAATGACGCTGGTCTCGAGAATCACACTCTGGCCCGAGTTGTCCGCGCCACCAATTCCCTTTGGCAGCAGCTTCAGCATGGCCGAGGGGACCTTGGACTTCTTCAGATGCAGCCTCGTCGTGTGCAGTCGTTTCGTGACCGGGTCGACATACCGGTCGATCACGTCTGAGGCTAGGACATGGCGAGAGTAAGGGTTGGGATACCGGAGGAAGTATGCAAGCGTAACGGCCGGAAAGGAGTAGTCGTAGTTGAAAGTGTTCTCGAAGAACTTCATCGTTTCAATGCATCAGCATCCTTTGAAAGGGGCAATCAGCGAGATGCCGGGTCTCCTAACCGACGCCCTTTGCTTAGTTGTCGTTGGTCGTTGCTGGATCGTGGATCGTGTTTCTTCTTCTCCTCGTCGTCGCTTCGTCGTCGTCGTCGTCATTTGTCGTCTGCTTCATCTCGTGCTTTTCTTCCTCTTTTTTTTCTTCTTGCTTCCGGCTTCGCGCTAAGCCGTATCAGGCCATGAGCGGGGATGTTGACTAAGCCATCACGTGATATACTCGCGCTTGGGCCGTTTTGTGTTATTCGCGATTCGACATCAACATCGACATCTACGTCGACAGACATGTTTCTACTAGAAGGGATACGTTTCAATTACAGTGTGCAGCGAAAGATGTTTCCAAGGATCAATACTTATCATCTGTGGCATTCAGTCTAGCGATATCAGTACATTCGTTTAGATCTCCTACAGAAAGACAACTTTAGCATGTTACTCCAGATGCTCAAGGCAAGGAGGTCGTGTTGAAAAGCCTATTTCCAGTGTCGGTAGAGCCTCTGCCTGTATACTTGTTCTGTGATACCCGGAGAGCAACAACAGTCACCTTTGCTCCGTAGCGAAGCTTTTGCGTGAGGGCTCGCCTGGAGATGCATTCTGCCTGAACAACGCCAGCAACCACCACAATGCGGACGGTAGAGTGTAAGATTTGGATCCGTCCTAGAAACTCGGCTACTGTCTTGCCGCTATTGATCACGGAGTCAACTAGGATGATGGTGACTTTCCCCTGTACATGGTGAGGCTTAACATCCTCTGGTGATTTCACATGCAGAAAAGATGACTTAGGAAAGCTCTCCCAAACTCCACGAGCCATGGGCTCTCCTGCCCGCATTACCGCCACAATCAACGTTTGATTTTCATGGTATAGCTGATGACCACTTGTCTGATATCCCAGAACATGTGGAATGGAATACTCTTCAACGCCAATAATGTCGGACAAGAATTCAATTGCCAGGTACTTTCCCACGGACATATGAGCTCTGCAGAGATGTGGACCAGCAACGTTTGCATTTCGCATTTGGGTCATTAGCAATTTAGCTGCATTCTTTTCCGTCGCATGAATTAGCTGAATGGAGGGCGGCGAAGGAAATGGACAAAGTCCATGAAGTCCACGCCGGTAATATCCAATGAAGGAAGTCTCTTGAAATCAAGCCGCATTGGTGTGGTGGGAGGTAAAGCAACTTGCTTCAGGCGGACTCCGCCGCACTCGATAGCCTCAACCAAGGTAGCACCCATGGACCTACCCCTGGTTGCCTCTGGCCCAACCACAACGATGCTTCTGTCTGCAACCTTCAGCATATCTATGCCTAGCGGACTGTCACCAAATGCCCAGACCTTCATATGGTACTTGCTTTGCAAATAGCTGACCAATTCCCCTTTCACATGCCCCGTAATGACTGGGCCATCAGCAATCCGGCCACTCCCAATTATTTTCACAATGCCGGACAGCCTTTCTTTCTCCATCACCTTTTCCCACACACGTTTTATGCCACATGTAATGACAACAGCTCGAACATGCTCTTGTTCCGCTACACGGTGGAGTAGACAAACAAATTCAGGATACATGGATACCCCCGCAACCACTTCGCTGCAAATCCTATCAAACTCCTGGTCATCGCCCGACTCTTCATAAAGCAATCCGGCTTGGCAGAAAGCAGCGTATGAATACCCTAATTTGCTGCTGAAAATATCTTCCAATGAGGCACCTTTGACCTTCTATGAGCCAACTTTTTCCCAGAACGCTGCCCCGGTATCCTTTTCAGATAAAGTCTTATCTGCATCCAAGACAAGCATCATCAACGGCGGTTTGTCACCAATGACGATGTCTAGACATGCTTTGGCACGCTCCATATTGAAGCTGTAGCTAGTCGGATCTCATGTAACAAGTTCGCTACCCTGCTCTGTGAATCCGGTCCGAGTGCCACACACATGAACAAAATACCATATTCCAAACAAAGTGGACGGAGCTGTGATATTTCCATCTCCTGCCACTTGTGCAGACCCTTCGTGCTGATAGAAGGGCGATCCCTGGTCGAATCGTGGGCACGGCGCTCAATTAATATTTCAGTCGGAACATTCAAGTATAGGATGTGTGTGTATGTGACAAGGTCATCTCTAGTAATCACGGGGGACCCAACTTTGCCGTCATCTTCGAAGAAACTGAAATGGCCAGAGACAATAGCCGCCTTCTTGTTTTGGATGCACGCCGTCCGGATCGAGTCAATTGCCGCTTTCCGTGAGGTTATCTGTCGTTCTCTGCTCCATCCTTTGAACTGGGCGAGGCCTCCCGGGGTTACTTCATCGATAACCTGTGAACCTTCGTAAAACATGAAATCCTCATCCTTGAGGGTCCTCTTCAGTTGATTCAGCAGGGTAGTCTTCCTAGAGCTAGAAACCCCGTATAATCCTATAACCACCGGCTTCTCTTGAGCCGAAGGCTGTATTGCTTGTGCCAGTGCCATCGCCGTCAAGGTGGGATCTCCAACTGGTCAGCCCGTATTGTTAACCAAAAAAGTCTGGGGAAGGGAGGGATGCAATCTCGCTTCTGTTTGAGCTAGGCAGATTCATCAACAATGATGTTGAGGTAGAGGACACTATCACATAGTGCTGCTTCCTAGTGATGCTTTATATGTCACCTATGACCTTTTAGAGTCAGTTTCTCTTGCTACTCTGCATCGAAGAGCTGCAATAGTCCTTGATACATGATACACTAGAGGTATATGTCCTGCAAGATGCCTAGGGATAATGAAGTAGTAGGCGGAAAGAAAGAGTAATCAACTACTCATATTCTATCTCTGCTGGCGGGTGATTACCTGGTCCTTACATGAAAGCCGGGAAGTACTCCCGCTTTCCAGAAAAGCAAACTACATGAAGATGGCAGTTCAGCTACTATTATCATCTCTCAGCCTCTTTGACCGGCTAAACAGAGAGTCTGCAGCCACCCACTGCCCATCCTAGACTCTTTCTTCTGGGAGGAGCATAGTTACTTAACTGCCTAGTCTACAGCACTGCACTCTCAAAAGGTCTTTGACTCAGAATAATAGTTAGTAAATGCAAGATAAACACGAGTAGCACTAACTACCTTCTGCAGTCAACGAGCAATTTGACAAGCTCCAACCGCCTTTGCAGCTGCAACGAGCGAAAAATTGGCTCTTTGCTTGGTTACGGTATTCGTATAAGCATCACCCGGATCCAGGTAATCCCTACTGTTTGCGAACTCTGCTAACTAACTATGGACAGGGCAGATACAGAACTAACTAGCCAACTAGTTACGGAGCAAGGGGTTGAGGCTGGCCTCGTTCCCAATCCGATTACTAAGCCTAGGGATTGGCAAGCATATATATATACGGAGGGAAGAGTTTCAAGCCCAAGCCCAGCCACGCTCTTCTTCTACAGCCATCTTTCCTTCGAATAATACTGCTTGAATCGGGTGGCTGCGGAGATGGGCCTAGATTCACGGGAGCCATGGCTTTTCAAGCTACGGTCTTCAGAGGCATTTATCATCTTCGTGATCACTATTGCCATGTTCACTGTACGGGAACCGAATGATTCTGGGGGAAACGATAACTGACTGCTTATAGGATACCCTGCTTTATTCCTTGGTAGGTTGTGGGTCGTCGGTAGCAGCCTAGAATTTTATCTGACGATTCCAGATTATACCCGTTATTCCAAAAGCCCTGGTTTCACGGGCGGGAGTAGCGCAGGAGGATGGTATGGACTGTCCAATCCCTTTTCGATGTTGAGAGATTAGACGCTAACTAATGCTGCTACAGTTCAGTTTTGGGTATCGATACTTTTAGCTGCATACGGTGCTACGCTTCTATTGGGGTCTCGTACGTTCCTCCAGAGTATACAACATCGACGACGTCATGGACTCTAACCTAGCCATAGCTCTCTTTGGGTACCTCTCCGACCACTTCGGATCGCGCAAGCTTCCATTTACCCTGGGACTTGTATCACTATGCTCGTCGACAATTCTATTTGCATTTGCACGCAGACCTGCGGTACTGGTTGTTGCCAGGGCATTTCAAGGTCTCTCTTGTGCGGCAGTTTGGGTGGTTGGACTAGTGCTACTCGTCGACAACATTCCCCAGGAACGCATTGGACAAGCTATGGGTTATACAACCGTTGGTATGACAATGGGTGGTCTGTTTGGACCGATGCTCGGGGGAGTATCGTATGACTTCTTGGGGTATTATGGAGTTTTTATTTTCCCCACGCTGCTGATTATTTTAGATATCATACTGCGATTTGCCTTGATTGAGCGGCCTGGTATATTCTCCCTTCTCCCTCTTTCTGCCTACCATCTACTGATAATCTTAGTTACAAAACAATCGCTTGAGCGTGAGTCGTCTAGGGCAGAGGATACAGAACGAAATGCCCAGGGCACATCAGCAGACGCCAATCCCAATCCAAGCAACCAATGGAAGACGGATGAAGAGACGCCTCTCCTATCTACTCAGCGCCTTGGGGCTAAAGATAGCCCGAAGTCGAGTGTGCTCCTCCTCATGCGCTCTTCTCGTCTACTCATTGCTCTACTTTCTGCGGCAATGCTTTGTTTGGTTCTGTCGAGTTTGGAGACAGTAGGGAACCGAAAATCTCACAATAATAACGCAGACTTTCGTGCTAATTTTTCAATAGACCGTCCCACTTTTTGTCATGGACAGATTCCACTGGACTCCGAGCGGCGCTGGGTTGATTTTTCTTCCTGTCTCTCTCACAGAGATGGTGTCCGGATCCATTATGGGAAGTCTAGTGGACCGATTTGGAGCACGACGCCCTGGATCTCTCGCCTTTGCAGTGACAGGAGTGGCGTTCTTTTCCCTGAGATTTATTCTGCATAATACCATTCCCGAGAAAGTTCTCATGGGTGGTCTGTTGGCACTTGTCGGTCTCGGCATAACGGTAGTCCAGATCATTGCCATGACTGAAGTTTCTCAAGTGGTCATTGATTACGAGGCCCAATCTCCGGGTATTTTTGGTGGAAAACCCCCTATGGCTCAGGCTTACGCACTTTTCAACATGGCCTACGCAAGTGGGCAAATGTTGGGACCAGTTGTTGCAGGGTCTCTGCAGATTCGGACAGGGTGGAGCGGAATGACGCTCTTTTTTGGGATTGCCAGTGCATTGTGCGCGTTACCTATGGGCCTTTGGAGCGGTACGCCGTCGAAGGTAGAGGAAGGTGACGAGAATAACGGACTGATCGTCAGGCCTGATTAATTTGCTGTCGCTTTAGCTTTCCGCGGAGCGTAACTCCCATGTTCAGATGTAAACTATATAAGTTCAAATAACTGCGTATTATGGTCCACTCTCTGATAATAACGGTCATTCTTCACACGTATGGAGAGTATACGAGGTAGGTATCTTATACCAGTATCATTATAGCAAAGGGGGTTCTCTTAACGACTCCACAGGAGCTTTTATGGAGAAGTCTGAATTTTGGTTTTTTTGACATGTTCTAAGTTATGCGAGGACCAATTTTTGAGAAACTTTATTCAGCACTGGCACAGGCTGTAAGTAAACAGCAACATTACGGTAACTTTTCATCGTTGTAATCAAGTCCACTTGTTTACTCCGCATCCTTACAAGGGAGGTGGTAATGGCGGCTGGGTGCTGCATATGGAGTATATAATACATGCTCCTTATATATAGGCGTTGAATTCTCACATCTCTCCATCAAACTAACGCATTTCCGAACTCCATTCTCACCCTCTGTCTATCCAACCCGGCATCTATACACTACCAGCTCCTGCCGCAACCATGGCCCAAGAGGGGTCTAGCTACTATGATTCGCCTTACATGGTAGAGTTCTACAATCTCAAGTGGGGCAAACCCAGCATGCCAGACATGGATATATACTGGAAAATATTCACCGATGCAGTCACCCAACACAGAGAAGCGGCGCCAGACAAACCCTTCACAGTTCTCGACGTCGGAACTGGTGCCGGCCGTGTACCACTCGGTCTGTTACAGCGTGCCGTAGCCGCCTCATTCGATACTCGTAACATTCAAATGATTGGACTAGACAACGCGCAGCACATGCTGGATTTAGCGGCTAAGCTAGAATCAAAGACAGACAACAATACTCCCCCTGTTACTTGGGTTTTAGGCAACGCTCTCGCACTCGATGAGCTTCCCACCCTCTTGCCGCTATCTGACAAGCATATAACCATCGATCTCCTTGTCTTCGCATTTAATAGCGTGTGCCATATGGAGCGGGATGGAGAGCTCGCGCAGTTTTTCCTGCAGGTCAGTAAAGTGCTCACACCAGGCACGGGACGGGCCTGCATAGGTCTTGCCGATTGGTTCCTGCTCAATCCAGAAGAGGATATGAAGGTTCGAGCTGAGAGCGAGGAACTGCCACCGCCAGAGGACGTCCAGAGTGTCGACTTTCCGGGAATTCGGTACCACACTACCATGAACCGGATGGATTGCCAGGGCAAACTGTGCGTCTGTGGGGAGGATGTACAGGTCTTCAAGCAGCTGGATGATGGCAAAGACAAGGAAATTGAAATCCATCGGGTCAGGCACTCACTGCGCTGGTTTACAAAGCCTGAGTTCTCGACCGCAATTGAAGCCGCAGGGTTACGAATCGTGGAAGTGAGCAAAGTGGATGAAAGTGAAGAGACCGCCGGTTACGACGATAATATTTACATCTTGCAGCGGGCGTAAATTACAATACATAGTTAACAGACCCACTTAACATTACAAACATTTAGAGTTAACTAAGTTAAGGTTTATATGAAACTCTATCTTTTCTCCTGAAGTTTAACTAACAAAGTGGGGAACTAACCTACTTTTGGGACGGGATGTGACCGGCTAAATAACTGGCTATACATATGTTCAGGGCTCTGCCTTTCCGTGCCTCCTCTGTACGGAGTACGAGTACAAAACAACAATATATTGTAACAAGCGGAGCAAAAACAGAATGGACGAACTTTCCAAATCAGTTGCCTTGAACGCAGGCATACTTTCTGCGGAGCTTCGGGATAAGGGCCTACCTTCTCTCGACGATGAATCGTTCCCCGTCTCCTTTCCCCTCCTCAGCCCCGAGGGTTCTCGCGCTCGGTTTGAGCTCATATCCGCTGCACTAGATATTGTGCGGCTGGCTAGTGGTCCATCGGAATTTCTAGGAAATCTAAGCTTGCAGGTAACTAGCAACATTCTACGATGGAGTGAACCAGCGAGAGACGCGTAAAGAGAATGAGCTGACGGTGCTGGTCAGGGCTTCGAACTCAACACCATTGGGACTATGATAAAGCTCGGAGTTCCACAACAAATTCCTCTTGATGGATCTGTTTCACTCCGCTCTCTAGCTCAGTATGCCCAGGTTGAAGAGCAGCTGTTTACTCGTCTCGTTCGATATTCCATCGCCGTCGGTTTTCTATCCGAGAAAACGCCCGGCCAGATCAGCCACAACTCAGCTTCATCCGTTTGCGTACGTGATCAAAACACTACTGATAGCATTCTATCAAACCTCAACGTTGCAAACCCGGCGTCGGTGAAGATGGTAGAAGCTCTCAAGCTCAACCCTACAGGGACTGATGCGTCAAAGACGCCTCTCAGCGTTGCTTTCGCCCAGTCTTTGGATGGTGCTGAGAAGCTAGGCACTATGTGGGATTTCCTCCGCGATCATCCGGAAGAGGAGGTTCGGTTCCATAATTCCATGGCTGCCACACACTCCACTTCAATCTACTCGTGTGAGCATGTAGCCCGAGGATTCGATTGGAATCAGGTCAAGTCAATTGTTGATGTGAGTGTCTCAAAAAGATATCGTCAGAAGCCCACACTCTAATTTAAATTAATGTTAGGTTGGTGGCTCAGAAGGACATGTAAGCATGGCGATAGTCAACTCTTACCCTCACATTAAGTCAACCGTTCAGGATATAGGGGAGGTGGTCGCCTCCTCCCGTCAGCAGCTTCCCGCACAGTACAAACAGGCCATTGAGTTTATCGAGCACGATTTTTTCCAGCCCCAACCTGTACAGGCGGATGCGTATATTCTGCGCTTTATCTTACACAACTGGTCTGATGAGGAGGCCAAACGCATAATTGGTGGTTTGCTGCCAGTACTGAAGCCAGGTGTTCGGGTGCTGATTATCGAGCATGTCGTCCCTGAAAAGGGAACTGTGCCACTCTACGTGGAACGCATTGTGCGCAATATGGACGTAACCATGTTTGGATTACTGGCTGGAAGAGAGAGGACGGCTCAGGATTACGCAAGTATTTTGAGCAGCGTGGATGGGAGATTGAAATTGAAAGGAAGTACATGTCCAGACGGAAGCGTGGTCACTATCCTAGAATTTATTGTCGAATAAATAGTTAACTAGCTCGTTGACAAACAATAGCTATGACTACAGTAGAGGACAATGGGGCCGTTAAATCTCAAAATGAGACATTTTGAAGTCAGAATAGTAATTTGTTTGTTGGCTAAACTGCAGCTTTATTCGAAGCCCTTCTAGGGGGACTAGCTAGAGCCTTTTTCAGCTGCAGTAGGATGCTATAGAGTACGTATTCTCAATTTTGTGAAAATATAAAGTTGAAAATCTATATAAAGCGTCTTGGGACGTCTACCAAAAATATACAACAAATCCTTTTACATGAGTTCCTCCAACATCCCTTGAATCACATGAAAGATTCAACCCCATGTGATGTCAAAATTTAACGATATCACTTTCTTGTGCCCTCATTCACTCATTGCTCCATTTTCACTTGGAGATGATTCAAATATCTCTTCATCAGGTCCTTGTCTAGAATCGGAAACTCGAGACCACCGGGGAAATTTGCAAGGGCTTCCATGGTGTTGGTTGTCTCGTAAACGGGCATGTTTTCGTAGAGCTCCCATCGGGTCAAGCCGTTCTTCACCCTCTCTGCCAGCATAGGTTCCAGTGGCTGCAGACGCTCAGGTGGATTTGCTGATAGTCGCTTAACCCACTCTGTGTACGAAACGCCCTGCATCGGACCACTGCCGCATTCACCAACCATGTCCATTGAATCATCCATATCAATGGAGGTTTCCCTGCTAGGGGGAACAATGTGATAGGCATGGCCTAGAGATGACCGTGATGAGGCAATGTGTAAGATTACAGAGTTGACATAATCAACGGGGACGAATTCCTTGCGTTGGTTCGGCAACTGTGGGTAGCAATTCATCTCCTGACACGCATTAATCAACCGGCTAAAGAAATCATCCGGGTTGCAGGCACCCGTTCGACTATGACCAGTAATGAATCCTGGTCGATAAACGGCAATAGGAAATCCACGATCGATGAGTCGGCGTAAGAGTTGCTCTGCAACCCATTGGCTTTGAGCATAACCATGGTCATAGGGGAGGGCTTCGAGGTGTAGCAGTAGGGATTCATCTTCCCGTACTCTTTTCACGCCGGTCACGAAGCCAGTTGGTCCGAAGCAGGAGATGCTGGACACATAGTGTACTGCTTTTGTCCGCCCTTTGAATGCCAGTTTCAAGACATTCAAGGTACCCAACGTGTTGGCAGGGCGGTGCAGAGAGTATGGCTGAGTATAATTGACGCGAGCTCCTAGATGGAATACTACGCTGGCCCAATTGGCAATCTCCTCAAACCGATCTGGTCCCATTCCCAAGAAGTCATCCTCCAGTGTACCAGGCAGAGCTAGCAACTTATCAGAGAACTTGTCCTCCCAGAGATCATACTTGGCCATTGCGGTGCGCAAACGCTGTAGACCAATTGTTGCGTCTTTTGCACGTACCAAACATCCGATCTGACGGACATGGGGCATGCGTAGCAAGTCTGCCAACATGAATGATCCCACAAATCCGGTGGCTCCGGTTAAGAAGATACGACCTTCAGTGTCACGAGTCCAGTCGATCGCCGGTCCTGCTGTGCAAGAGAGGCCATCCGCAATTTTCGTATCGGCTACCCACAAGTCACTCTCGTTACGGACAGTCTCGAATTGGCCGTTCTGGCGCTCTTGGATAATTGATGTCAGGGCTTCCAGGGTTGGGTTATCATAGAGAGTCAGCAGAGACACTTCAGAGCCAAACGTGCGACGGATCTGGCTGATCAACAGTGACGCTTGAAGAGATGTGCCTCCATGGCTGAAGAAATTATCGCCATCCTGGAATGCATCGGCAGGGGATGCAAGGATATGAGCCCAAAGGCCAGCGAGTATCGAACGGGTATCTTTGGGCCCGTCTTGTGGTTTGGATAGTGAATCCATCTTCCATCGCTTGCAGTACAGTTCTGTTAACCCTTTTCTGTCCACTTTGGCGTGGCTATTGAGAGGCATACTGGCGATCAATTGCAGCTGAGGAATCATATAATCCGGAAGAATCGTGCGAAGGACTGTCAGTGCCTCCTCAACTCCTACAGGCTTAGAGCTGTCCACAGGTACAGCATACGCGACTAGTATTGAACCGGCCCCATCCTGGGGTGGTTCAATTCTCATCGCCACGGCTTCGGAGAAGAAGCCAGTTTTCAGTAGCCCCGTTTCTACCGAGCCCAATTCAACCCGGAATCCTCGGATCTTGACCTGATGATCAGAACGCCCGACATAGTCAATCTGTCCATCCGGTCGACGTCGGACGATGTCACCAGTTCGGTACAACCTGATGGGATCGCCTGATGCTGTCACTAAACCTTCAATCATTGTGAAGGAAGCAGCATTCTTCTCGGGTTGGTTGACATATCCCGGGGAAACACCAGCGCCGCCAATCCAGAGCTCGCCTTCATCAGTTGGGTTACCACTATCGTCAGCTACATATGCAATAGTGTGACCAATCGGCTTGCCGATGCTGACAGAGCCAGCTTTGATGTCCTCGGGAACGATCTGGTGAGTCAAGCAGAAGATGCAACACTCTGTCGGTCCATAGGCATTGATTAGCATCTCTGGAGGGCCCTCTTCGAAGATCGTTTTGATGGCGGCGACATTTGCAGCTTCACCTCCAATAAAGCAGATACGTAGCTTGGAGAAGGCACGCGGATAGGTAGAAGCAGCGAGATTCAACAAGGCAGTTGTGGTGGCCATGACGGTAATTCCAAGCCGATCGATATGCTCTGCCATAACTGGAAGATCCAGCAGAGCCGTTTTGCTTAGAACCGCAATAGATGCACCGCGAAGTAAAGGAGCCCACACATCAAAAAGAGAGACATCGAAACTGCTATTATTGACGTGTGCAACGACATCATTTTCCCTCACTGGCTCAAAAGGAGCATGGAAGACAACCTGTAAAATTGACCGAGCTGCGATCTGCACTGCCTTCGGCTCGCTGGTTGTCCCAGAAGTATGAATCAAATGCGTGCGATGTTCTAGGTCTGTTGAAACCGGATATTTGTCCTTGGCCACAGCCATGAGGCCTTCGAGAGCAAATTTGCGGAAGGGAAGATCTCGATCTTTATTGCTTTGGTCAACTAGCAGAAATTGGGCGTTCAGTCGTTGCAATCGGCCCTGTATCTGTTGGTCTGGAAGGGTTGGATCCATTGGGACACAGCTCCCGCCAGCATAGATAATAGCCAACTGGGCAACGATATCGTTGACGCCATGCTGAACGACGATTCCCACTGGTTCTTCGAAAGCGAACGATTCTTGTAGCAGTTTATGAGCAATATACGAGGCTTGTAAATGCAATTGTTCGTATGTGAGAGAGACTCCCACGTCAACAACTGCAGTTGCAGTAGCATTTCGTCGTACCTGGCCATAGAAGAGCTGACCGAGGCCTTGATTCCGGCTGACGGTAAAGTCGTACTCCTCGGAAGGAGTTGAAGAGATGGAAGGCATTCTAATGATACCTGCCCAGGGATAATGACAATGTTGAATTGGAAAGGGCACGGTGTATTGGAGAAGACTCAGTGATGAAAAATCAAAATAGATAAAAGGGAGTTTCAATCAGGCACTAAATAGTTTGAAGGTAAAGAGGCGTGTAAATCGGGCCAATGCAAAATTATAAAACGGCAGGCTTCCATACTGGAATTCAGAGACCGCAGTTTGGCCAAAGCCGGAATTTTACGCTGATGTCATGGCAAAGCAAAAGCGGTTTACTCTGTGCCGTACCTTTGTCCACTTTCAACATGCGTGATACTGTGAGTGGGCACGATTCAGTCTCCACGTAATTTATACGCCGAGACAATCGCTAATCTTGGGCCGGATATTAAGAATACGGGAGGGGCTCAGTCAAAACTTAAATGTACTCAAAAATTCGATCTCGCTTATGAAGGACAACTTCTTAGTTGGGCTCCAGTTCGTAGTGAAAGGCGAGTCGCAGGAGTGTTCTTGATACGGAGCACTTACCAAGAGCAGTCTTCTCGGCCCGACCGTTCGGTACTAGCCGTAATCTTACAAGGGGAAAACTTTAACTTTAAAAGCCCACTTCCCGCTATGGGGCTAACCTTAGTCACTAGCTTGGAGTTTAAATGTTTCACATCGACTGCAGTATTTTTACTACGTGGCGCCTATTGGATCTTCGTGAAAGATTACAGGGACCTTGTTGACTCGCAAAGCGGGGCGCTTAAATTTGGGAAACTTTGTGAAAGCATCGGCTATCGTACCGGATCAAATTATCTGAGCATTCACGTTCGACACGATGAAACAGCTTGCTCTTCTTCTTGAGAAACAGCAGTTTATGCTGGCTACGTTATACAACTAAAGACACAACTACCCGAGAATGTCGCGCGTTATTGCTATTGTTGGTGCCACTGGCAACCAAGGAGGGTCTGTCGCTCGCTCTCTACTTCAGAATCCGTCGTTTAAAGTCCGTGCCATTACACGGAATCCCTCTTCAAAGGCCAGCCAAACGTTAGCATCAGCAGGAGCAGAAGTGGCTCAAGCAAATGGCTTTAACAATGAGGAAATGCTTCGGGCATTTGACGGCGCCTGGGGGTTTTATGTTAACCTGAACTCGGACGATAAGATATGGAGCAACCCTGATGGTCCTACCGAGTTTGATTTGGGCAAATCAATTGTTGATGCAGCGGCCCAGGCAGGTGTGAAGCATTTTGTGTTCAGTTCGGGCCCTCCATGCACGGAGATGACAGGGGGGAAGGTGAGAATGAAGGCTATGGATAGTAAGTAGAACCCCCCCATTATTGATTGTTTTAGTGTTAATAGACATCATTGCAGTGAAATACAAAATCGAACAGTATGCAAAGCAACTGGGAAAATTCGAGACCATTACTCCTATCAATGCTGCATGGTACTTGGAAAATTTTCTGGTGAAGGAGGTTGCCCCAGTGTTTGGCGGATTCCCCCATTTTCCTGATGACGAAGGCTACCTCACGTATCGTGTGCCCAACTGGGGAGGAGACAACAAGGTGCCGTTCTTGAGCATTACCGATGATTACGGAGACATTGTTCAGGGTATCTTTCTGGATCCGGCCCGATGGAATGGCCATGTTATTCAAGCTATGAGTGACATGCTTGGCTTCGACGAGCTGGTGGCCAACTTTGCAGACCGTGAGTGAAATTACTGTTGATAATATGCGCGGTATACATGTTAACCGTTTAACAGTAACCGGTAAAAAGACTCGATTCCAGCCAATTCTCCCTTCCTGGGAAGCCTTTGAAACCCATGGAGTCCACGAGCTAGAGGATGTCAAGCTCATGTTCGGGTTTACGCAAATCACTGGTGGTCGTTACTTTGGTCCGGAGCCCTCAAAGAGGGAGACAGCCTCGGAATTGAAACGCGCAACAGCTACAGCATTGGGTCGGCCAGAAAACCAGCGGGAATTGACGACTGCAAAGGACTGGTTCAAATCGCATTTCATATAAGTCAAATATGATGTAGAGAATGACTTGTTAGTTATCTCATTTTCCGGGCATACACTAGTTAGTGATAAGCTAAGATAACAGTTGCTCACATTATTTATTCTGTTCGTTTGCGAAGTATAAAAATAAGAGAAATGAGGTACATTAGGCACATATTTACCCTAGAAGATAATCGAATACATTATTGCGGTCTCTTTATGATACTGTGTTCAGGGGTTCTTAACCTAGCAGCCAATAGACAGTTTGAAGGGCAGTTAGGGAACCTGAGCTGAAGGATAGAGTAATTATGCACCTCAAAACTAGGATTTATCCTTATAAATAGTTATTCTTTTGCTACATTCTTCCTTTTACCCCTTCGTCCACCGCACAACTCATCAAAATGTCTCCTTTTGAGCTCCTTGGCCTAACAGCTGGACTGGTTAGGGTTCCCCATACCACCTTCGAGAGTTCCTCCTGCTAACTGCTCGTCCAGTGGATCGTGTGCCATATCCTTCTCGCAATTTACAATGTCTTCCTCCACCCCCTACGGAAATACCCCGGGCCCACACTCGATGCTGCTACCCAGCTCCCTTATGTTTACCATATGATCAAGGGCGACAATGCCAAATATATCGCTGAACTACACGAAAAATACGGTGATATCGTGCGAGTTGGCCCCCGCGAGATTTCCTACACCAGTGCATCAGCCAACAGAACCATCTTTGGCGGTCGTCCAACGGAAGAGACCGTTTTCGAGAAGAACCCAGTCGTCTGGTTACAGGGCTCTGGGGAGATACATAACATCTTCTTCGCTCGTCATCGTGAACATGTACGGTATCGCAAGATGATGGCACCGGCCTTCTCAGAAGCTGCTATCCGAGAACAGGAGCCAGTCATCCAGGAGTACGTAACGAAATTCATTGATGGAATGCGCGAGCGGTCCGGCAAGGCTTGTTATCCAGATGCGAACGGGGTTGTCAACATCCAAGCATGGTACAACTTCTTCGTCTTTGACATCCTCAGCCGATTATCCTTTGGTACAACCGTGGGTTCCCTGGATCAAGGCGATTATCATCCCTGGGTGACAGTTATTTTTGGAGCAATAAAACATTCACAATATGTCCAAGCAGCTCACCGGCTGCGGCCATACCATCGACTACTCGAGCTCTTTATCCCAAAGGCGATCAGCGAACCCTACGATACGCACATGGAGTTTGCTGGGAAGACACTCCTAGAGCGGCAAAAGGGCGATTCTATCGGCCGGGCAGACTTTGCCTCCTTCATTCTGAAGGGGATGTCGGAAGCCGAACTACTGGATAATGTGAATATTCTCGTTACCGCAGGAGGGGACACAACTGCAGCAACAATGACCTCGATGACATATTACTTGACGCATAACCCAGAAAGCTACCGAAAACTAGTTGATGAGATCCGGGGGACTTTCCAGGCGGAAGAAGAAATCACTGTTTCGTCGGTCGCAAATCTCAAGTATCTTCGAGCAGTAATTCAAGAAACCATGCGAATCCATCCGCCAGTCCCCGTGGGCCTACACCGAGTTGTCCCTCGGAGCGGTGCTGCGATTGACGGCCAGTGGCTACCAGGCGAGGTACGTGTCCATGCTGATTTGTTTCTCGCTAAGCCATTGACATATCTCTTTTGTTATGCTGTGATGACGCTGACTCGCTTGTAAGACTTGGGTATCCGTGGCGCCCCTGGCAGCGTATCGCAGCCCCCGATATTGGCGAGAACCAGAGAAGTTTATCCCCGAGAGATGGCTGGGAGAGCCTGCATTTGAGTCGGATCAGCGCGACGTCTGCACGCCATTTTCGATCGGGCAGCGGAGCTGCATTGGGATCAAGTGAGTTCAGTTATATATTTCCGCAACTACGTGGCTCCCAGCCCAGGTACTCCATGCAGCTAACTTGGACAGCCTGGCCAAGGTGAATCTTCGATTGGTCATTGCCCGCCTGCTGTGGAGCTTTGACCTGGAAGCTCAGCCGGATAATGTCGATCCTCACGATCATCTCGAGTACGGTGTGTGGCAGGGAGAGCCACTCCGGGTCCGTGTGAAGGAGCTGGCAAGCTCGTAAGGGGTGGGTATGATTGTAAAATAAATTGATCCCCGACATGCCAGCACACCGATCAATACCTTATCTTTCAAATAATTGATGATCCCAGGCCAGCTTTGAGTAACTCATGTACAGAAAAGCCCCTGCTTCGATTGCAGTGGATCACCGCAAGTGCCGATCGTTTCTAGCTAGTTGTCCCCATCTCAACAATGAGGCTGTAAAAGCGGAGCATTCGCTTCCAAGGCATTTTGCTTCCCTCTAGTACCCCGTAGCTATGCATATATGTCACATTATGGTAATTGACTATCAAAAATGTACTCCATAGCCAGTTATTCTGTAATACTCAATCCTTCATTGTCCTTCATAGGGAGTATAGACCCACTTCCACGGGGACTCTTGAAAGATAGTTAACTACTTGTATGTGAGTTGTCATATAGCAATGGTAGTCTCGGACAGACGAATTTCGTTATCCTTTTTTTCTTCCATACGTCAGAGCAAGCAATATTCTCTGGAAAAGGTCAAGCCACGTCATTCCATAAGCCATATCATCTTATCCTGGAAATGTTCTCCAAGTGTTCTTCTCCCAAAGGAATGCAAACAGTCGAAAATCTGGCGGAGTATGACAATCAATTCATGGCTTAGATCTCATGCATCATGGGATAGAATGCTTGATTAACTCAAAATCCCCGAATAAACAAAAAGAGATGATAGTTCTAATAACTGCCTCACTGGAATTCCACAATTTAATTTTTATAAGCACCAGAAATCGCTTGAGGATCCCGAGCAAGCGCACGAACGTAAAAAACTAGGGTATCGATCATGGCATCGGCAGACTGTTGATCTAGATACGCATTGGTAGCGAAGATCTGTAAGGTATGCGTTTGGCCACAGACCGTGGACATAAAAACAAAGTCACGGAGCTCCTTGGCCAGCCGCGGTGCATAGTATTCGTCCAAAGTAGCATGCACACTGCCAAACTTCAGTGTGCAAATGGGTCCGCCAGCCTGATGCAAAAGTTGTGTGCCAAAGACAGTATCCTTGGGCCAATTGGTGGATTTTTTGATGATATCTTTGAATTGGACTTGATCGTATGCTATCGAAGCTACATTCTGTCTCTGAATGCAGTGTAATAAATCTTCCCCGTGTTTAATAGCGCTCAAGTCCATACGAACTGGGATCAGGTTGAGGCATGGTCCAACCACTGCTTCCTCGCCTGGAAGGCCATGGGCTCGACCATGGACGACTTGGCCGAATACCACGTCGCTCTTCTGACAGTGCTTAGACAGAGTCAGGGACCAGGCTGCCTTTACCAGCGAGGCAAGAGTGATTCCTTTGGGAGGTTCCAGGACTGAAAGGCTGCGCGTAGCTTCAACGAATGTCTCTTTCCCTGCTTCCATGTCGGCAAATGGGTCACCTACATAGGTCATCGATGATCCTTCAAGTAGAGTCTTCCAGAATTCATAGGTTTTGGGTGTTGCCGACGTCCAAAACTTATAAGCCCACGGCGAGAACGGAATTGGCGTGGAAAGCGGCTGTCCATTGTAGATATTTTCAATATCCTTCAGAATGATAGGTAATGATTGTGCATCGTATACAGCGTGGTTTAATCGCACAATGAGCGTGTATTGTTGTGAATTTTGATACAGGAGAAAGAAACTGATGGAAGGCACATTCCACGGCATGAACTGATCGGAATCTTCCTTGAGCAGGCCAGATTGAAACTCCTTGAGATCATCGGGACATTCATAGTGCTTAAATGTGATGGTCATTCTCCGAAGGACTGTCTGGAATATGGAATTGCAATAATCAACGAACACGGTACGAAGGATCTCATGTCGGTGAATCACGCTTTCGCATGCACTTTCCAGGCTTCTAGCATCCACTGATCCGGGAATATGGATAATCTCATACTGAGGAGGAAACGCAAGCATAATAGCCTGCTGTTCGGTGGCAGGAAGGATATCAAGAATATCAGCCTCCGTAACATCCAGCTTTGATGCTATTTCAGCCGATGTACCGGGAAACATAGTAAATGACGGGGCTGCTTCCAGTATATTGTCCGAGGAGCCATTCATAAAATAGACCGCACGTTCCGTCATGGCAGTAAGGACTGGATATTGGATGATATCTATTACGGATAAAGAGATTTGGTTCTGTCGAAGGAGAGCGGCCAACTTCATTGCTGTGATGGAATCGCCTCCGAGCTGTATGAAATCGTCCTCCATACCTATAAGCTGTGGCTGAAGGCTAAGGATCTCAGCGACTGCTGTCTGGATGGAGCGTCCCATATCCGAGTCGGGTTGCTGCTTAACGCGTCCTGTTACCCCTGACCCGATGCTATACGACTCAAAGTCAGCCATTGGAAGTTTCTCTACAATCGCTCGGAGCTGACGACGGTCTGTCTTCCCCGTCGGAGTTAATGGCATGCGAGAAATCGGTAGAGCCAAGGTAGGGACCATATATGAAGGGAGTGAGGCCTGCATTGCGGGACGCACTCGATCCAACCAGTCAGAAATAAAAGGGGCACAGGGGGGAAGTAACAGGGAGGAGTTGTCCGGGATCCCATTTTCATTATTACTTTTCTCATTTGTATTACTTTCGTCGATGAATGCAGCTAGAAGGGGGTGAGCCCCTTTTCTTGCAGCAGGAATTGCCACTTCAGCAACCACATGGTGCGCCCCGGGGTACAGTCTGCGAAGGTGATGCTCGACATCGCTCAATTCCACTCGCTGACCACGAATTTTCACCTGGGTGTCTTTGCGGCCAATGAACTCAATAGAACCATCTGGATCAATATAACGGCCATGATCTCCTGTGCGATAGGCTCGATGGCGCTCCTGCGAATCTGGCACCCATGGGCAGAAAGGTATGAAGGCGGCCGCCTTGGCTCCTGTGACGTTGATATACCCACGGGCCACAGTAGGGCCCTCTATGACAATCTCTCCGACTGCTCCAACGGGTGCCAGCTGGTTGGGGTTCCTGATATCAGCGAGCCAGATATGACATCCCATTTTTCGATTGAATGCTCGCGGGTTATAAGGTATGGCCAGGGGCCCATGGTTGGCAACTCCCACGGCACATTCGGCCGGTCCATAGACGTTAAACACCTTGACAGATGGTATCCATTGGTCGAGAAGCGCCTTGACCGGGGTCTCGCCCCCTATCAGAGCAATCTTTAGTCCCGGCATGTCTGCGGGTGAAATCGTCTGCAGGACAGATGGCGTTGTGAAAAGAACATTAGCCCGAAGTGCCGCAAAAGCTCCAGCAATATCATCGCGTCGGCTTGCTTCTGAGGGCACGCAAACGCATCCTCCATACATCAACGCAGCCAGGGCGTCAAAAGTAGCCACATCAAAGGCGTATGCAGAGAACTGAAAGACTCGCGATCGAGAGTCCAGAAAAACACCCCAAGACGCGGCCACCGTGCTGACCATTCTGTGCTCAATGATAGCTCCTTTGGGGTTACCGGTTGATCCGGAGGTGAAGCAGACGTAGGCTGCATTGTGCGGTTGTACGGTGACGGGCTTCAGTTCTATATCAGTAGCGGGAATATCTGGGCCAACCTCGAGGATAGGCAGATTCAAAGGGCGTGAGATATGAGCATCTCGTGGGGAGGATATAACCAGCCTGGCACCAACATCATGGCATATGGTTTGCAGCCGGCTTGTGGGGTGAGACGGGTCGAGCAGGACGAAGGCACCACCAGCCTTCAGAACGGCCAGGACGGCTACATTCGCCCACCGAGATTTCGTAAAACAGAGAGGTACGCATGTCTCAGCCTCTACTCCCTGGGCCTGGAGACGGGCAGCGTACTGTGTGCTCAGCCGTTCAAGTTCGTTGTAGGTAAAAGAGCCATCCCAGGCACATACGGCTATCTCCTCCCCATGAGACTCGCTCTGCCACCTGATTTGTTCATGTATACATATATCATGGCGGGCGAGCTCGTTGCTATTCCATCCCTGGACCCGACGTAAGTCTTCAGAATGAATGCCGGATGTGATTGTGGTTACAGGGGCGTCGTTAGGCCCCTGTTTGATCAATGCCACAAGGTGCCTCATCTGGCTGACCATCTGCGTGCATTTCCACGCATCTTCAGCCCATCCTTGAATAGCAAGCCCATCCTCTGAGGTCAGGTCGCAAAGCACGACGGCCTGCTTAAATCTGCCAGATCGACTGCTGAGATGGCCTGGCTGTGGCCCCTGGTGATGAATCGCCAGCAGTGTTTGCTGGCCATCGCTCTGGGTATCTGCAGTTGAACGAATGATTTGGTCGACAGTTTCGAGGGCCGCCTGGACAGTCCCGTTATATGGCACTTGGAGCTCTATCGACTTGCTAGCCGAATAGTCTTCTGAGCTTGTCAGGTCAAAGTTGACTTCATCAGATCCGGTGAAAAGGGCGAGTGTTGCTGCCCAGGCCAAAGCCAGGATAGAAGGGGATGTGGCAGCCATGGCCATGGGTATGTATAGCAAAAATGCTCGATGCGGGGGGCAGGAACATAACTACAGGCACATTCCTTTTATACATTAGGCATGTATAAATGGTATTCTCCAGTTATATTACGTAGATCGGCGTGTACAGGGAGCTGATAGAGTGGGTATTGTATTTTGCATGCCCAAGGGGTTATCAAAATAACCGCTTCAATATAAATTGGTCCCGCATCCGCCTCCACCTAGTTAAGCCGTTAGTTACAGTACACGATGATAAAAAAGCAAGCATAATATTACCGTATAGAAAAGGATACCTGTTACCTATCATATAAAGGTTCTTTTTGCTGCGGTTGTATTGAAATATAAGACCAGCGCAGCAGGAAACCAATGCTCAGCCAGAGGACCTTTTGGATAATATAGTTAACCGGTATAATGATAACATTCACTCCCACTCAGCACAAGGCGGTCTATCCGGCCATTAATGCGAGCCAGCCAGAGCTCTCCCAGGCTGGCCGGACCATCCTGATTACGGGGGCATCCTATGGCATCGGCTTCGCGGCCGTGCAGGGCTTTGCAAGTGCCTCTGCCGCCCGAATCATCCTTTTGGCCCGCCAGCGAGATTCTCTGGCCTCAGCTTGCGAGCGGCTACGCGCACAGAATCCATCTTTCCAGGGCGAGTTAATGACATATGTATGCGACATCGGCGATGCAATCCGCGTGGCCCAGGTATGGGACGATCTCAACCAAAAGTCCATTGCGGTTGATGTATTGGTTGTGAATGCTTGTGATCCCGGCACCGAAGCGACTCTCGATGCGATCCCCTTGCAGCTGGCTTGGAGGGCCTTTGAAGTGAATGTCCGCGGCAACCTGGACATGGTGCAGCGGTTTGTCCAGCAGGGGAAGACAGCCGATTTCGGTGGGAGGACTGTAAGTTGACGCCCGTCTGATAATTACCTGGCTTATATTGCCTATACAGTATTATCAGGCGTTTACCCTGCCCTGTTGTGAACACGGCTAATGCTCAGTTATAGAGAGCCTTGATCAATATATCCTCCCGCTTAGCCCATGACCACGACTCAAGCGTTGGCTACGGGTCCTATGCGTGCTCAAAAATTGCATTCACCTCCATGATCCAGCATCTGGCGACAGAGGTCCCCGTCGAGCAGATCCAGATTCTCAATGTCCACCCGGGAGAGGTGTATACGGAGGGCCTCCAACGGCTGTGTGAAAAGGACTCCTGGCCCTCGTGGGATGAAGGTGAGTTCAGCTTGACCCCTGACGACGATATTACTTACTGGTTAATTAATTGCTGTTAAACGTCTCTAGCAAGCCTTCCCGAGAATTATATCGTCTGGGCCGCTTCGCCTGCCGCATCTTTCCTGCATGGCCGCTTCGTCTGGGCCAGCTGGGATGTCACAGAGCTGAAAAACTGCGAGGCTCTGACAGACGGCAAACCGGAGAACAAGGATCTGCTCAAACTCGGTGTGAATGGAGTGGCGTTTACTCTGCCTTCTGCGGCTGTCTTGCTATCCTGATTTACCACCGTCTGGGTGCAATCAGCATCTAGTCAACTGAACAGTTGTCAAAGATGAAGCTGCTGCAGCTGGAATAGGCAACTAACTGAGAATGAGTGGCTAGAGGTGCAAAATACCTAAGCAAACATAGCCATATTATAGCAGTCAATTGATCAAAATAAGTTAATATAGGCTAAGAGCTGGCCAGTTAGCTAAGCCCCTGACTGGTTTATATACATAGAGGGGGGTATCAAAATATACACCTACTTTGACAAATTTTATATTTAGTTATTTCTTTGCCCTCAAATTGGATGGTATCGACCACCATTTCGCACGCCTGAGATCTGCATATAACTTGATAGCTCGTAGCAAGTTAATTGGCAAGTTGACTGGCACTAGCCATGGGCCCCTGGAGGCACATTCGATGCACCCCCCAGCTGGAGAGGGACTTTCCCAGCCCCTCGTATGGAATATTTGCAGCTCTGATAACGAGTAAGAGTACAGATACAGCGGCATTCTTGCTGGTAGATCGATTGGCTGTCCATCTTTGACTCAAAATTGAGCTGCATCTGCACTCCGTATTCGTAACAAACTCACTGCGGGTCTAGACAATACCTAAATATCAAATGATATATTAGTTGACACACTTGGGCTGCAGTGCAGACACTCCACACCTCGTGCGCCATGCAGCCAGGGGCTGGCCCAGTGACGTTGCTGGCGCATTGAGAGGATTGTTGCTCCATGCACATAATGGAGATGCTGCGAGGCCTGCTGTGTGATACGTTAAATAATAAATACGCCTTGCGTCCTGGTCTCCCGAAAGGCATCATCACCAGCAGCAGCAGCAGCAGCAGCATCACCACCACCAGCCAACTAGCTAGTTAACTACAAGTGCCATAACCTGTTGTTTACTATCAGTCAAAAGCCATTCACACCATGGATTCCGAGGAGCGGAGCAAAACACTATATGGCTCGCCTTACATGGCCGAATTCTACGAGCTGCACTGGGCTACGGGTCTGGGTCTGGAGGACGTCGAGCTCGTCTACTGGCCGGCATTTGTCGAGATGTTCTCCAAGCACCCTCGAGACGGCCGCCAGTTCACCTTCGTCGACATCGGCACCGGCGGCGGTCGTGCCATCCTTGGGCTGCTCGACAAAGCGGGTGCCGAGTCGTTCGAGATACCCCCCGGGTCTGCCCAGTTCATCGGCATGGACATCGAGCAGCACATGCTCGACCTCGCCGCCAGGGAGGCCTTGAAACATCCCGGCATCCCCCCCGTCACTTGGTCGCTCGGTTCTGCGCTGGCGCTCGACGAGCTGCCTGCGCTGGCCGACCAGAAAACCACGGCCGATATGCTCATCTTCACATACGGCAGCATAGTCCACCTGACAGGCGACGGCGAGCTCGAGAAGTTTTTCAGCCAGCTTTCCAGCGTGCTGACTCCAGAGAGCGGCCGCGCCTATATCGATTTCGTGGACGAGTTCCTCGTTCCGCACGGCGGAGAGATGCCTGAGAGCAGGGATGCGTTCTCGGACTTGCCCGTGGAATCCCTGACTGCCGAAGTGAAGAGCATTCAGTGGCCGGGCATCACGTACCAGATGGAGACGCTTGGTTTCGCAACGGTCGACAACCTGTCTGTGATGGATACGAGAGTGCGTGCTGTGAGGGACGCAGACAAGTCTGTGGTCGAGAGCAACACCGTCAAAGAACGCATGCGTCGATTCAAGGAAGATCACGTCCAGGCCGCTTCCCAGGCGGCAGGGCTGATGCTGCTCGAGAAGAAAAGATGCAATCAAAACTCGGTCTTCGTGTTCCACAAGCCTCTCTGATTGCCAGCAGCAGGGTGAGCTTGTTCCTAGGCGGCTATATGTGCATATGCGCCCCTGGGTTACTGGGTACACCAGCTATGTAGATAGGGGGTATCAGGTTGGTTCAACCTACGAATATCAGCAACTAGTTAACACTGTCAACACTGGAGCAAACTGAAGAACTCTCTTTTGGAGATGAACGTTTCAATATTTCCAACTTCTAAATATCCAATTGAAGGTTCCCACGCGGACTAAAAGATCAATTCTATTATAACAAACCTGCCCTTGCTCATAACTGTGTATTTGCCAAACTGCTTCAGGATATTCATTTTGATATGGGGGTGGACTCTATCTGAAAAAGGATACTGAGAGACGTTGAAGAAAACGAAGAAGAAGAAGTAGAAGGCAGGCCACAGAGTATTTTGGCAGGTTGAAGAACCCCTTTCCAGCGTTAGTAAACGTGAGTATCAATTCCAGTCAAGCAAGAGAGTACGCTTACAGGAACAGGAACATAATGAGACCTGCGTCAACTGGACCAAACGGCTGTTCACGATTGAACGGTGATATTCATGCCCAGAGTGACAGGTATAGTTATATATGGGGACAAGCCTAGAGAAGGCATATTTCTCTATTTCTCCCTCGTGACATGATCGTACGGTCCCTCATGGCGGTAGAGACCAGCCGCCATGTTCAAATGGTCATTGATGTACGGTCTATAGACCTATTATCCAGGGGAAATTGGCTATACCCATCAAAAATCCAGAGTAATAATCGCATCACCGCAGCTGACTTCACAGGTAAGAAATGGGAAATACTATCCCTATTCGCGAACGATAAGTCCAATATTAGCTACTGGCAGTCTGAAAAGCTCAGCATTCAAACTAGACGATTAAGCTCCTTGCAGGCTGACCTATGTTTGCAGATAACTGTACCTGACCAAGCCATAGCAGTCATTGATTTGGAAAAGGTGCGCGAGAACGTACACCTGGTGTTATGGACTGACTGTAGGTACTGCCCTGGTATCTTGGGAACAGAAACATCTGTATCCGTAGGTATGTTTTCCGATGTTCAAATATTGTATATCCTCCGAGAAGCATGAAATCTTATATCACTTATTTCCTCGGCATGGATACATCCCACCGAGTAACTCCAAAACATGCTGACCACTAGTGTAGGCTCGCTCTTTGGCTCAGTCATTATGATAGTATCTTTTAGCAATGGGGCCAACTCTCCCATTCTCTTCGAAGTTGTTGTCAGAAGGGCATTGACCTGGAAGAGTGTTCCTAAACACTCCCCTGACATCAAAATGGCTGGAGTTCTCCCCCTGGAGTCCCGCAAACACTTCCTCAGTTGCATTAGAAAAGTGCAGACACTCCTGTGGCTGAGAATGTACTCGATATCACCGTTGGTGTGGTAGATTCTCAATAGCGATGGCCGGATCTCAAAGATAGTTTCGATGCTGAAGCGGGTGTAATGGGAGAAAAGGAGGGAGGAATTATATGAGCTACTTCGATAGGTGCTTTTATAGCATCTGGGGTTATATAGCTCGAAATAGACGGTAAATAACACCTAGTGAAGTCATCGCCGGCTGATCTTTTAAAATAGTCCGTTTAGAAGCAGAAGCAGGACAGGACCTCCTGTCATATCGACATAGCAAAGTCTTCATATGGCGACTACGAAGTTCCCTAATCTGATCGCGGGAAACTACATCGATCACGCACGAGACATGCCACCATACAAGTATAGAGGGACCTTTGTAAGCTATAGAAATATGTTAGTTATAAATCTAACATAATAAGAGATAACTTACGCGGTATGCTAGATGTTCTAAAAAGCTCTCCTACTGTAGTCGTTTTGATAGGCCGTGGGATCATGCTCTATTCTCGAGGCGCAGTGAACTATGCATTTGGACGTAGTGGGCTTCTCCTGGATGTGAGGAGAGCATGCGCAGTAGGAGCTTTTGAGCCTTGTCATGCAGTCGTATGGGACAT